CCTTAACTATCTACCTTAACTACACCTCTATATCATTAATCCACCTTATCTATTTTAACTTTATATCATTATCTTTTGTTTATCTTTTTTTGTATCTTTTTTGGCGTTCTAAATATCTGTACATGAGGGTAAAATGGAGGGTCTACCGCCATCTCCAGCGAGGAATATCGACTCTGGAAGGTGTATGGGGTTACAAACAATTTACGCGCGTTATTAAGGACACGCGCCATCACGTGTTGGTCAGCCGCCGTAACGTAACACCAAACTATCAACCATTTCCTTAAACCGCAAATTAATCCTTGGTTAAATAAACTTGTAAGTATACCCGTGTGTTTTAGCTTTGTAAATTATGAATTACTTTTAGTTAAATATTCCACCTAAAATAAAATGTATTTGTGTTAATGCGTAAAACTTTCATCAATTCAGGTGATTTGTTTGTTTACATCGTGTGCCGTTCTCGCCAGCTCGTAACTTGATAGTGGGAGTAGTGTAATCTGACCCGCCTCCCTGAGATTAACAAATGGCGGTCGGTACTCCATTTGATGCGCTAATAACTGGCTATTAGAATCCTCCCACCCATTGACGGTACATGATGGATTTCGACGGTCTGAACAGTGGCTTAAAACCTTGATACAGTTTCCATTTTGGGACGCACTCTTGTAACAGCTGGTTGGTGGGATTGCCAGATAGCTCATTTACTCATTTATTTAATTATTCTTACGTTTATCATAATTATGTTCTGTTATTATCGAAATATGTTAATTTATATTGAGTACATGTTTCCAAGATTTAAAAAAATTTACGGAAAAAACTAAGGAAATAAATGATCTTTTAAGAAATATGGTCATCAAGTGTAGGCAACAAGAGTAACAGCCCCCCCACGGAGTACGGTGATTGGCTGGTGGCGCGCGGTGTAGGGGGCGCTTCACCAACACGAGTCACCCTTGTCTCACCCGTAACTCAATCCCTAGTTGGTTTCGGCCGCAGTTTGTATTGAATACCTCCTGGCTGTATTATTATCCACCTCCAGTTCCTTTACACCTGGCCAATGTGACTCTTTTTCATTCGTAATTAAAATCTAATACAATTCCCCTGAAGTTACACCTTTTAAAACTCGTAGAAATTAGCATACTTTCTGTACTTTGACCATAAACTCAGGGAATTCAGCGCTATGTACAAAGTTCCCGAATTAAATATATCATATATCTATTTTCGGTTATATTCATAGTTTGAGATAAAATAAAAGAAAGATCAGTTGAAACTTTATGGGTTTAGAGGAAGATTATAAAAGTGTATAGGAAAAGGTAAATGATGTTTACCTATTATGTTGTGATGGTGACTGTACTCTTGACTTACCACAGCCACAGGGGTGTTAGCTTGTGTCTCGTCACCCTTCCTCTCGCTCTCTACACTCTCCTGTCACTCTCTACACTCGCCTGTCACTCTCTACACTCGCCTGTCACTCTCTACATTCACCTGTCACCTCACACTCGCCTGTCACCTCTCTACACTCGCCCGTCACTCTCTACACTCGCCTGTCTCTCTACACTCGCCTGTCCTCTCTACCTCGCCTGTCACTCTCTACACTCGCCTGTCACTCTCTACACTCGCCTGTCACTCTACACTCGCCTGTCACTCTCTACACTCGCCTGTCACTCTACTCTCGCTTGTCACTCTCTACACTCGCCCGTCACTCTCTACACTCGCCCGTCACTCTCTACACTCGCCTGTCACTCTACACTCGCCTCTCGCCACTCTCCCCGTTACCTCCTCTTCGCCCCTTTCATCCACCCTCACACATAAATGGAAGGGGAGTGAAATATAGACAGATAGTTGGAGCCTAAACTGGAAATGCTCCTTATTCTTCATCTGAGTATATCTGCAACACTATCTTGCTCCGGAACACGGCCAGTGCACGAGGGCGTCACCCACCCTGCAGGGGAGGGAGGCGGACACCCCTCCCTCTCTTGTATACGTCACCCACCCTGCGGGAGGGAGGACGGACACCCTCCTCTCTTGTATACGTCACCCACCTGCAGGGAGGGAGGACGGACACCCCTCCCTCTCTTGTATACGTCACCCACCCTGCAGGGAGGGGAGGACGGACACCCCTCCTCTCTTGTATACGTCACCCACCTGCAGGGAGGGGGAGGACGGACACCCCTCCTCTCTTGTATACGTCACCCACCCTGCAGGGAGGGAGGACGGACACCCCTCCCTCTCTTGTATACGTCACCCACCCTGCAGGGGAGGGACTCTTTGACCAAAACACCCCCACCACAAGACGGACACCTCCCTTGATACCCCCACCCTGCAGGGGAGGACGGACACCTCCCTCTCTGTATACGTCACCCACCCTGCGGGAGGAGACGGACACCCCTCCCCTCTTATAGTCACCCACCCTGCGGGGAGGGGGACGGACACCCTCCTCTCTGTATACGTCACCCACCCTGCGGGAGGAGACGGACACCCTCCTCTCTGTATCGTCACCCACCCTGCAGGGGAGGGAGGACGGACACCCTCCCTCTCTTGCATACGTCACCCACCCTGCAGGGAGGGAGGACGGACACCCCTCCCTCTCTTGTATACGTCACCCACCCTGCAGGGGAGGGAGGACGGACACCCTCCCTCTCTTGTATACGTCACCCACCCCTGCGGGGAGGGAGGACGGACACCCCTCCTCTCTTGTATACGTCACCCATCCTGCAGGGGAGGGAGGACGGACACCCTCCCTCTCTTGTATACGTCCCACCCTGCAGGGAGGAGGACGGACACCTCCCTCTTGTATACGTCACCCACCCTGCAGGGAGGGGAGGACGGACACCCTCCCTCTCTTGTATACGTCACCCACCCTGCAGGGGAGGGAGGACGGACACCCTCCCTCTCTTGTATACGTCACCCACCTGCAGGGGGACGGACACCCCTCCTCTCTTGTATACGTCACCACCCTGCAGGGGAGGAGGACGACACCCTCCCTCTTGTATACTCACCCCCTGCGGGGAGGGAGGACGGACCCTCCCTCTCTTGTATACCCCACCCCTGCAGGGGAGGGAGGACGGACACCCCTCCTCTCTTATGCGTCACCCACCCTGCGGGGAGGGAGGACGGACACACCTCCCTCTCTTGTATACGTCACCCACCCTGCAGGGGAGGGAGGACGGACACCCTCCCTCTCTTGTATACGTCACCCATCCTGCGGGGAGGGAGGACGACACCCCTCTCTTGATACGTCACCCACCCTGCAGGGGAGGAGGACGGACACCCCTCCCTCTCTTGTATACGTCACCCACCCTGCAGGGGAGGGAGGACGGACACCTCCCTCTCTTGTATCGTCACCCACCCTGCGGGGGAGGACGGACACCCTCCCTCTCTTGTATACGTCACCCACCCTGCAGGGGAGGGGACGGACACCCCTCCCTCTCTTGTATACGTCACCCACCCTGCAGGGAGGGAGGACGGACACCCCTCCCTCTCTTGTATACGTCACCCATCCTGCAGGGAGGGAGGACGGACACCCCTCCCTCTCTTGTATACGTCACCCCCCCTGCAGGGGAGGGAGGACGACATCCTCCCCTCTTGTAACGTCACCCACCCTGCAAAAACCCACACCCAGGGACGGACACCCCTCCCTTGACCACCCACCCTGCAGGGGAGGGACACCCTCCCTCTCTTGTACGTCACCCATCAGGAGGGAGGACGACACCCTCCCTCTCTTGTATACGTCACCCACCCTGCAGGGAGGGAGGACGGACACCCCTCCCTCTCTTGTATACGTCACCCACCCTGCAGGGGAGGAGGACGGACACCCCTCCCTCTCTTGTATCGTCACCACCCCCCTCTGTACCGTCACCCACCCTGCAGGGAGGGAGGGACGGACATCCCTCCTCTCTTGTATACGTCACCCACCCTGCAGGAGGGGGAGGACAGGCACCCCTCCTCTTGTATACGTCACCCACCCTGCGGGGAGGGGACACCCCTCCTCTCTTGTATCATCACCCATCCTGCAGGAGGGAGGACGGACACCCCTCCTCTCTTGTATACGTCACCCACCCTGCAGGGGGAGGGAGGACGGACATCCCTCCTCTTGTATACGTCACCCACCCTGCAGGGGAGGGAGGACGGACACCCTTCCCTCTCTTGTATCGTCACCCACCCTGCAGGAGGGGAGGACGGACACCCCTCCCTCTCTTGTATACGTCACCCACCCTGCAGGGGAGGGAGGACGGACACCCCTCCCTCTCTTGTATACGTCACCCACCCTGCGGGGAGGGAGGACGGACACCCCTCCCTCTCTTGTATACGTCACCCACCCTGCAGGGGAGGGGAGGACGGACACCCCTCCCTCTCTTGTATACGTCACCCACCCTGCAGGGGAGGGGAGGACGGACACCCCTCCCTCTCTTGTATACGTCACCCACCCTGCAGGGGAGGGGAGGACGGACACCCCTCCCTCTCTTGTATACGTCACCCACCCTGCAGGGGAGGGGAGGACGGACACCCCTCCCTCTCTTGTATACGTCACCCACCCTGCAGGGGAGGGGAGGACGGACACCCCTCCCTCTCTTGTATACGTCACCCACCCTGCAGGGGAGGGGAGGACGGACACCCCTCCCTCTCTTGTATACGTCACCCACCCTGCAGGGGAGGGGAGGACGGACACCCCTCCCTCTCTTGTATACGTCACCCACCCTGCAGGGGAGGGGAGGACGGACACCCCTCCCGCTCTTGTATACGTCACCCACCCTGCAGGGGAGGGGAGGACGGACACCCCTCCCTCTCTTCTGTGTCTTATACTGTATATCGTTGTTTTGTATATTCTTAACACGTATATTTTAGTCTATATGTTTATGTTGTGTGTGTATGTTACGCACACACATACATACACACACATACACACTTTGATATTACACTGGAAGCCGATACAGCACCTGATAAGGTATGTCGTCACACTGCTGCAGTAACGATAATACATAAAGAACAAGGGTGAAGGGAGTACTCACGCTGGGGATGTTGTCGTTGGTACACACACACTCGGACAGTAGTCGGTCGCGGATCTCCCATGCGAAGATGGAGGGGCACTCCCTCTTATAGTCGGCGATCTTGTTGACGACGTGAGGCGTCGCCACACGGGGTTTGGAGCCTCCGATGGCCCGGGGCTTGATGGACCCCGTCTCGTAGTACCTGTGGGGCGTGGGAGAAGACCTGGTTAGTAAGTCAGCTCTGGATAAGGTGTCCGCTAGCGCTATAAAGGCTCTGATATAACTGTACTGCATTAACACTTTAAGCTGAGTCAATTAAAGTAAGTGACCTTGATTCAGTTAAAAAGTAAACAAGTTTGTGAGCTCTTAGAGTTATTGACTATGGCTGACATTAGACAAAATCCTCCTAGGTGACATATCAGAAGCCTTCGCAGGACCCCTAGCGGGCGTACCTGGCCAGGATCTTGGAGACGCAGCCATTGGACACCTGGAGAATGCGGGAGATGTCGCAAGGCCTAGCGCCAGAGTGGGCCAACTCTACGATCTTCTGGCGTGTGGAGTCCGGCAGGGGGCGGCCGTTCACATAGACGCCCCCCAGCTGGTTTATCCCGCTGTGGCCTGCAAGGGACACCAGAGAGCTCGGGGTTAGGAGGACAGCGGCCCGCGTACACTCACCTAGCAAGGATCTTGGACACACAGCCATTGGACACTTGAAGTATGCGGGAGATGTCGCAGGATCGTACGCCAGAGTGGGCCATTTCCACGATCTTGTGGCGGATGTGGTCTGGCAGCGGCCGCCCGTTGACGTACACGCCACCCATCTGGTTCACGCCCGTACCTCCTGCAAGGATACTAGGTCAGATACGCCCACGCGCTCGCCGCTCACACACGCCCGCCCGTCCAACACTAGGCAAGAATTTAAGGAGGTGACTAAATAAGAAGTAGGAAGGAGACTACAGCTACACGACTGCTGCTACAAGAAAAAAGAGGCAGTTGTTACTGAGGCAGCGGGGGTCTGTAGAGGCATGGACAAGGTTAGTAGTATAAGGGGTTTAATACCACCTACTGCTGTTAATGACTCAACCAGGTACGAGGAGTGTGGTGATGGTGTTCTGGGCACATGTGGTTCTTAGTAACAGTACTCATACAACACACGAGGTAAATAATACACATCAGGGCCTAAAAAGACTCCTGCATAGTGAACAGTGACTGGCTCCCTGCAGTGTCGGATCAACCATGAGGCACTTGAGGCACTGGCCTCAGGCCCCCCCCGACTCTAAGGGGCCCTCAAATCCAAACATTCTCGAAGTTGAAGCATATAAAACATGAACTTCGGTCAACGATTTCCTAGCAAAGTCTCAATTTTCTGTCTCTTATGAACATTAAATGTGTTATTTTGCAGAAGCTTAATATTGATGAAATAATTGATAAATTTGGGTATATTTTTTCTTGTTATTTATACTGTATATACCTTGAGGGTAGGGGGCCCCAAGTTGATCTGTGCCTCAGGCCCCTATTAAGCTTAATCCGGCCCTGTCTCCCTGTGTCCAGTAGCTTGTGTTCATCTAACTCTCCTAGCTGGCAGTAATGAGCTGAGCTTCTATCTGAACCAAAACTGACCGAACTGTTGTCAAATCTCAGGTGAATTGTCTCATAACGATCGTAGTTACGGTTTCAAATTATAATAAGTTTCAAAACAAGGAGAGGTTATTTTCACACATTAATATAACCATTAACATCCAAGAACAAGAATGTAAACAAACAGTAACATTACAGCGATGTATCACAGAGAACAAAATCAAGTTTCCCTAATGCTACCAGATCCTCCCCGACCAGAAAGAAGCGGATCCAATCGTCCATTTCCGATGCTTCTTTTAACCACCTCCGTTTTCTTCCTCTATACCCCTCTGTCAACCTCCCTCAATTTCCATATCCTGAACCTTTTCCTTCTCTACCACACTCATCCTTTGATTCCAGTGGCATGACAAAGTCCTCCTCTCCTGGAAACGGGCCTGGAACGCATTCGACTGGAAGAATTACATTTAAACGCATTTCAGTCAAATAAAGATCCACAAAGGCGCCTCGATGCCACTGGCTGCTGACGCGCCATTTAACCCCCACTATTTTATTGGTCGTCATTTCACCACATATTCATCCATCATGTTTTTTTTTGTGTATGGATGATGGTATTGACTTCACGGATGACTGTTGGTACACAAGAAGGATGTGTCAGCACTGTAAGATGAGCCAGGTAGGGAGGCAGGTACTATATATACCTGGAAATCCCCCTCCTCCCCCTCCTCCCCCACCTGCCAACAGCTCTGGAATCATATCTTGAAGTCGAATCATCATCGTCTCTCTGTCATTAAGAAACCCAAACATAGCCAAGACCTAGCCAACCTCCTCTCACCCCACCCCACTCCAACCCAACCCAACCCCACTCCACTCCACCCCACCCCACCCCCACCCCACTCCTTGGTGACCTCTGCCAGTCTCCTCCACTAGACTTCTTTGCCTCCTACGCACCCCGTCAGCTGTGTCCCCCTTCCTTTAAACACCTACTATGGTCTTAGAGAGAGAGGAAGGAAGAGAGAAGGAAGGACAGTGAGAGGAAGGGAGGGAAGGGGAGAGAGAGAGGGGGGAGGGGGGGGAGGCAGAGAGAGGAGGGGAGGAGGAAGGAAGGCAGAGAGGTAGGTATATGTGTGTGTGTGTATTGCTGGTGTGATAGTTACGTGTTGTGTGGTGGTGTTAATTGCGTGTTATTATGGTAGTTGTATAGTTAATTTCTATATTCGTTTCACTGTAATTCAATTAATGTTAAAGCCGCTTGGTTTGGTGTTAAAAGTCGTGTTATAGAATGAGTTAGTGGTGACGTGTGACTTAAATGTGTACGTATAAGTTAGGTGTACACGTTAATATGTACACACACACACACACACACTAATGGCTGGCCTCCAGGATTTGTCTAAAATTGTCAATAACATTTACTTGATTCTCCCTCACAAGACCCTTCCTCTCCCGCCCTCCCTCTTCTCCTGTTCAGCTTTTTCGGTCTCTCCCCTCCCCTTCCCTTATTCCACACTTATTCCTTCTCTTTAATTCTGCTTTATCATCTCTACTCTTCCTCCCACGTACCTCCTCCTCTTCCTCGTTGTTATTCTCTCCCTCCTCCATATTCTCTTTCCCTCCACCCTCTACCTCCATATTCCCATTCCATACTCCCCTTCCTCCATATTCCCATTCCATACTCCCCTTCCTCCATACTCCCATTCCCTCCTTACTCCCACCTCGTACTCCCCCTCACGCCTGTCCGCACCTCCATTAGCCACCTCACTCCCAACGCCTTCCCTCATTGGTCCATCGGTAATGATAACTGGGCTGAGAAAATAGACCAATAAACCCTCGTTAGCCAATCAACGCGAAGGGAAGAGACCTCGGTGATTGGTGGAAAACGCGACACCTGCGACCAATCAGCCGGTTGATGAGTTGCATATGTATTTGGAATTCGCATTGGTGATTGGTGGAAAACACGACACCTGCGACCAATCAGGGAGTCGAGTGGTGGTATCCGTAGTTAGGTCGGAAACATCTGGGCCAGAAATTCCAACACCTGTAATCTGTTTCGTTGGGGAAATTTGCATCTGTCACAGTTTTGGTAATTGTAACACCTGGCTGTATTGTTTACCTGGTTGTATAGGATAAAATTTCCACCTGACCTGACGTGACCTAATCTACCCCCAACCTAACCTGACGTGACCTAATATATCCCAACCTGACCTGACATGACCTAATCTAACCCAACCTGACCTGACGTGACCTAATCTGACCCGACGTGACCTAATCTACCCCAACCTGACCCGACGTGATCTAATCTACCCCAACCTAACCTGACATGACCTAATCTACCCCAACCTGACCTGACGTGACCTAATCTAACCCAACCTGACCCGACGTGATCTAATCTACCCCAACCTAACCTGACATGACCTAATCTACCCCAACCTGACCTGACGTGACCTAATCTAACCTAACCTAACCTAACAGAGTCACCAGGTTGTAGGTACTGTATATGGTGAGGTGAGGTGGCTGGGCACTATGTTGACCTCACTAATCAATGAGACAGAGTGGGAAGCATTAAGGCGGGATTCTCTTGAAGCTGTTGCGTGTGTGTGTGTGGTGGTGGTGGTGGTAGTGGTGATGGTGTGTGGTGGTGGTGGTGGTGTCCAGGTGGTGGTGGACTGTGTGGGGAATTAGTAGTAGTAGTAGTGGTGGTGGCATGTTGTTTGCAGTAGTGGTGTGTGGTGGTGGTAGTGGTGGTGGTAGTGGTGATGGTGTGTGGTAGTGGTGATGGTGTGTGGTAGTGGTGATGGTGTGTGGTGGTGGTGGTGGTAGCGTGTTATGTGGTGGAGGTGGGAGGGACGGATTGCTCTGTGTTGTGTTTGGAGCAAAGTTGTATCTAAAAATGTAACCGTGTGTGTGTGTGTGTGTGTGTGTGTGTGTGTGTGTGTGTGTGTGTGTGTGTATCCATTGAAGCTTTTGTTGTTATTATTGTTTATTTATATTTTTACTGTTACTGTTATTATTATTTGTTTTTGTGTCATCCACCTTCCTTCCTTCCTTCCTTCCTACGTTCTCCATTTTTCTTAACTTTTTTCTCATATGACAAATTTCTCCTTATCTTTAGCCATATTTCCTTTTCCTTCTTCTCCAAAAATCATCCAAATTCTCCTCCTTCTTTGTGACTCTTTCTTCCTTCTTCTAAAAATCATTAAATAATTCTCCTTCTTCATCTTACCATAGATTTCTCTCCCCTTCCCTTCCTCCCTCCTACTGTGACTCATTCTTTCCTTCTCTTTACCCTCCCTCTCATCCATCTGTTCTCTCTCTCTCTCTCTCTCTCTCTCTCTCTCTCTCTCTCGCTCTCTCTCTCAAGGGAGGTGTGTGAAAGACATTATTATTTTGTTCAGGATCTTTGCTTTCAGGTAAAAAGAGATGCGGTCTTGACTCCCTTTCACTCCTTGAACGGGTGTCGATGTGGACCGGCGTGGTTACGTGTAAGAGGGCGTGGTGGGGGTGTGGTAGATGGGCGTGGGTACTTGTAAGAGGTCGTGGTAGGGGACGTGAATATTTGTCTGTAGGAGGGCGTGGTAAGGTCCTGGTGGCGTGGGTGGTGGCGTGTATCAGGGGGAGGTGTGGTTGGTTCACGTAAGCACGCCACCTGACTGATCTCTTCCCTTTATTAAACAGGTGTAGTGGCGGGAGTGTCACTTTTTGTTATGACCGTCAGCACCCACTCAGCCTGGCACCACCCCCCTCCCCCCACTCTTTACCTCTCATTTAACACAGGAGTGGGATTTAGCACTTATACTTAACACAGGAGTTTGATTTCTTAAGTATTTCCTTTAAGTGGTGGTTATTATACTGATACTCGATACTTAAGAGGAGGGCTGTGGTTTCCTACCCTAAAGACATGAGGTGGGCCATGGTCGCCTACCCTAAGGACACGAGGTGGGCCATGGTCGCCTACCCTAAGGACACGAGGTGGGCCATGGTTATCTACCCTAAGGACACGAGGTGGGCCATGGTCACCTACCCTAAGGACACGAGGTGGGCCATGGTCACCTACCCTAAGGACACGAGGTGGGCCATGATCGTCTACCCTAAAGACACGAGGTGGGCCATGGTCGCCTACCCTAAAAAACACGAGGTGGGCCATGGTCGCCTACCCTAAAGAAGCTTGAATATACACCCTCCCTCCCCCTCCTCAAGCTTCCATCAGTCAGATCAGGAAAGGCGAACCAACATTAAGGACTGATTAAACGCTTCCCAAAAATCGGTCAAAATTATTTACCTTTTAGTGTACAGTAATTTATCATCTATTTAAGTAGGGCACATTTACAGGTGTTAATGTATCAGTAATTAGTAACATTAGTGAGTTAGTAATAGGTAAATAAGAGAAAACAAGTGTAGTGTAATAGTGTAGTGGTGTAAATTGTGTAAATTAATAGTGTATACATCTGGAGTGGCTTTGTCGTCGTCTTAAATTTAGGTGTCTGAGTGGGTGTCGTGTAGTCTGGCGTTATTAACTTCCTCCTTGACAATAATAACGACAAAAAAAAATAACACGAGAAATAAAAACGACTTGAGCGACCAGGGGAGGAAAGACGTCTAGCTGTGACGTCTTACACACCCCGAGGTTTATGAGTGACTCGAGTCTCTCAAGTGAAAGGAAATTAAATCATTTGCATGGCTATTTCACCCTACCCCCTCTCCTTCCTTCCTCCTTCTCTCCCTCCTTCTCTTTCTCTTTATCCTCCTCCTCTTCCTCCTTCCTCAGCTACCCTCCTTCCCCCTCCATTATCTCCCCCCCCTCCTCATCTACCCTCTCCTCCCCCCCTCCTTGTTTACAAAAATTACCCCACTAACTGTACGCAGTGTTACAGGTCTCCACTATGGGTCGACTAACGATTGAATTACGTGATTCGACTGACAGCTGGGCCGGTTTAGATTATTATTAACCAAAATATTATCTTATCTATAAATGAATAAATGTTTTACCTCAAGCTTATCCAATGTTAAATAATCATCTGTATTTTAGCATATTAGTGGCGTCTGTCTGTTAGTTTTAGCAGTATACCTGTAATTAATTATATATATATATTAACTTAAATGTTTACCTGGGTTAATCTCTTTAAGTATTTCTTTATTCATCACTTAAGAGTCGACTTAAGTTAATCTCTATTTGTATTCGTATCATCAGGCAGAGTGGCAGTAGTATACGTACCGTGTGTTTGGGGTTAGGTTAGGTTGGGTGGGGAGTCCTTCGTCCCTGGCCTCTGTACCTCCATCTCCGGCCTCTT